AGAGTCACTCTTACTAAATCTCTGATACTGTTCAAGTTTGGCCAGAAAGGTTTCATGATACTGACTCTAATGTCTATCACATTCCATCCAACACAGGACATATTCTGCCTGACCATCACTAGAGAAAGCTACCTCGGCCTAGAGGGACACAAATGTATGTGGTTCATTGGCAGTATCTTCAGAGAAGTAGAATGCGGATTCAGAGAATGGGGTGGGGGAGTTGTGAACATCAAAGAGTCACCTGTGTGAACCCTAGCATAAATAAACAGTTATAGAAGTTATGGGAGAAGGATTCTTACCCATGACTGACATAAAGAAAAAGCCCTTCTAGCAGATGTAGCTGTTAAATATTTCCTAACTTTGGTTCTCTTTTGTGTTTGGTCTCACAGTCTTTAGTGATACTTTTTAAATCTCAGGAACCCAGCTTCCCTTTGCTTATGTGCCCGCTGTCTTTAGTGGAATCCATAAATAAGTCCAATAATGGACAGCCAGGTGATGGGCTGCCTCAAGACCCTCAAGATTGAGGGCGGGACTAACCAAGTGGGAAACGGTTACTGGTGAGGCAAAATAGAACTTTGAAATTAGAACTTTTTCTTTTAGAGCTAAGCCATTTCTCCAAACCTCCTCAGGCCCAGGGCATGGCCACCACCTCCTTTAGATGCCAGTGTCAGCAGGTGAAGGTCCAGTCTCCCGTCCACAGGGAAGGGAGGGAGTAAGGATGGCCAACAGGGATGAAGCAGTGGTGGAGCTGTCCATTGTCTCATTGCATTCCCCCTCCTCCCGCCCCTGTGTGTCCCCTTCTCCTGCTCCTTTACATGAGTCAAACATTTACAGAAATGAAAATTTCTGTAGGACTCCAGATGTTGAGAGATGTACAGAACCTTGGGCATGAGCAGGCTCGTCCATTTCATTATATAGATGAGGAACTGCTTGCCCCAAGGAGGGGCGGGGTTGGTAATGGCACAGACAACAAGCATAGGTTTATGTCTTAAAAGGCTGAGGGATTGGTAGTAATCTCTGAATATCCAGTGAGGAATTCTGGAGACATAAGCCTCAAAGAAGCTAGCTATTACATAAATTTTCAAAATGTAAACCACAAAAAAGGGATGAATTTGATTACACCAAGTGAAGGATTTCTGTCAGTGAAAGACAACATGGGCAAAGTAGATAAACACAACATCCTCAGAAGGTATTTACGTTGCCTAAAATTGATCAGAGATCAATAGCTGGGACTCCTAAACATTGAGACAATAAAACAAACTCAATTAAAAAGAGCAAAATCTGTGAACATGCAATTACGGAAGAAGAAACTCACCAAGTCAACAAACAAAAGATGCCCAAACATACTAGTTATTAGCAGAACACAAGACAAAATGATGGAAAGCTGCATAGAGATGGGAAGAGTGGATCAGATACAGGGATTACATGCCCAGCCTGGGGAAGGGGAAGCAGCAGTCAGCCATTGTAATAACCTGGCAGTCTTTAGTCAGTGTAAATCAGTGCACAGCTATTCTGTGACCTGCAGTTTTGCTCTTGGGTATGGAGCCCAAAGGAAATCCTCCCAGTAGGACTAGCGGGAGGATACTCAAAGCAGCCCCGTTAGTGAGGCTGGGAGCTGGAGTAAGTGGGTAAAATATGGAGGTCACCGCTGAGCACGGTGCACAGTGCTGTATAGGTACACAGCAGATACAGAGTAGCGTGGTGGGTCACAGAAACAACTTCAGGACAAAGGAAGAATACGCTCCCAGGGCTACCTTTGTGTTTGAAAACATAAGCATGTAAAGTTTCTACAAGTGCACATGGAAATAAAGCCATTCATGTCAAACACACTGAGATAGCTTTCAATACAGGAAACGGCTATCAGATGGTCACTAGTTGTTCTGAGTGACCTAAAGTAGGGGTCATAGTCCTGCCCTGGCTGCTTGGTGCTGGCTCAGGCATTTAGGAGCCCTGTGGACTCAAACCGGCATCAGCAGTGTCCCACTGAAAACAATCTTTCTCACATCCTGTCCTAATCTTGAGACTCTCAGCTCTAGACATGAGTCCTTTAGATTTTGGGCTTTGGGGGATGTCATACATTCATTCAGTGAGTAAATTTTTTTTTTTGAGACAGGTTCTTCCTATGTGGCCCAGGCTGGCCTCGAACTTGCGGCAATCAACACTAGTTTAGACAACGGGATTTAGAAAAGATGTGGAGGGGAGGTGGGTGGTAGCCTGCACCAGACTGTGGGAACCAGGGAAAGTGACAGCCAAAGCAAAGCTTCCGTTCCTTGTAGGCTTGTTTTCTTCAAGGCATATGGGACTAGCTTTCAGGGACCACTTAGAATAGCCAGCAGTGGACTGTAGATGTTTATATTTATGATCTCACGGGCTGCTCAGAAAAATCTGTCAGTTCTGTTTTACAGATGAGGAACATGCGGATCAGAGAAGTAATCTGGCCAAATGCTCATGAGTAGGGTGTCCGTGCTGTTCCTCCTGCCCCAGCAGACACCATTCCTTCCACCAAGACAGCTACACCAAGTGGCTTTTGCCACACTCCCTCTGTCTGGTTTTCTACCTCGTAGCTGGGCCCAAATTGGGCCCAAGGTTGCCCAGGGGCTCCCAAACCTATCAGAATTGCCTAGCAGCTCTCCCAGGGACACTGAAGTTGGAGGCCCTGCTCTAGGGAAGCCCTGGGGTTAAGCTAGATTCCAAGGGCTTCCCTTTTACCCTTCATCTCTTTGAGTCTTTAGCTAGGGCTCTTTAAAACCAGGTCTAGTACATTCTTGGAGAGTTGTCTTAATATAAGCAAAATGACAGAGAAATCTCATTCAGACAGAAGTACTGCAGAGCTGTATCTCATGCCTTGGAACTCCAAGAACTAGGATTTTAAACAGGTCTTTGCCCAACCCCTGAACTTATGAGATGGAATCAGGATGGTAGCCATCAAAGTTGCCATTCCCTCTCCTCCCCCTCTTTATATAAGTAGCCCACTTTTTCTCAGGCCACCATCCAATTACTTGGAGCAAAATTTGAAAGAAAGCAATTCCATCCCACAAAAAGTATTTAAAACACTCACACAGGAGATGGGCTGAGACTTGTAGCAGATGGCTTAAGCCTCACTAAACTGTCTTGTCAAAGCAGTTGATATAATGATTAACAACATGAGCTCAATGTTGCTTAAAAAGGGATAAAATATCACGGGGAGAATTAGGAATTTCTTTTTAACCAGAAAAGTTTCTACAACCGTGGAGAATGGAATGCCACAAAGAGAACATGTTACAAAGTTGTGGTTTATACATGAAATCCAAACAAAGTCATATAAGGTTTATCCTACCCTTGTGGGAGGAAGTAGAGACTTAAACTAGTAACAATTCAATTACATAAATATTTATGCTGTCATTATTGCTTGCAAATCCACAGGCAGGTCTAGCTGTGGAAATAGGAAAGCCAAGAGACCGCAGAGTTCTTGAGATTCACTATTCTTCCTTCTGCAGAGTCCAGATGTGGTTGGCACGAACCCACCCCACAAACCCGGGAGACTTAGCAACCTGTCTGAATTGCTGTTGCTGCTGCTTTGAGCAACGCTGCCAATCTCTAAACCAAAAGTCAGAATGGGGGGTGCCTCCTCTCCCTTCATTTCTCTAAAATAAGATCCTTTGTTGGGAACCCCAAAACAAATGCATCCTCCTATTGCCTTTGACTGTCCTCCTTTTTCCAAGTTTCCAAAGGGGGAAAATAAACACAGGACGGTGCTCTCCTGGCCTCTGAGCTCATCTTGTACTAATTATACTGTCCGACTTCGGTGTCCCGGCCCAGGTCACATCTTCCTTCCCTTCCAGCTGTGTGTGGACGTCACAACTCCCCTGTGTTTCTGTTCTAGAGTTCTAAAATTTGCTTATTGCCAGTTTTGCTACAGTCTGGCTGAATCCTTTCACACTAAGCCTTTACACAGGGTGAACCTGGGGTAGTGCTTTGACTTAAAACAGCCACCAACACACATGTATATCCATTATACTTATTTATTACTGTGTGATCCTTTTCTGCCTCATTTATATAAGCCTAACAAACATGATAGTGCATTTGGGAGCTTAGACTAAACTCTTCACATGTTTTAAGGGTCTCTTGTCTTTTAAACTGAGCTCTGTTTGCTGTCAAACTTATTTTATTGAAATCTTTTGTGTGGGTTTCAAAAAAATTAAAATTTAAAAAAATATTTATTTATTTATTTTTTGAGGCAGTCAGTTCAGGCTGGTTTTGAACTCAGGGTGATCCTCCTGGCTCAGCCTCCCGAGTGCTGGGATTACAGGCGCGTGCCGTTATAACTGGCTCATTATTGAAATCCCTTCAAATCCTAGTGTTTCAGCATTTTGGTACTCCGGAGTTTCTCTGGAACGTATCCCGCAGTGTCTGGTAATAATAAGTAACATTTACGGAGAACATACCAAGTGCGGGCTAATATTTTGAGGTAGGTAACATTAATAACCTAATATTACAGATGACCGTACTGAGACAGTGAGTAACTCATGCGAGGTCACACAGAAATGCTTGAGCCAGAAACCTACCAAGGTGCTGACGTTATCAGGCTTCGGTGTCCAAAGGACCCGGTGTCCATTTGTATTGTTTTCCTCTTTGGGGACTAGTTCATCCGGATTATTGGCTCGGCATTTTTGACCCTCAGTTTCCCTGATAAAATTGAGACTACGCCTTCTTTGAAAGACCCAGCAGGAAGAGGCAAGCGTGAGGCACCTAACTCAGTCCTTACCCCTGGGTCATGGTCAGCGTTCCTGGCCTGGGAGCTGAAGCACCTCCCTCCCGCCGCGAGGCCCCAGCAGCTTCAGTTTAAGACCATCGTCAAGCGACTTCTGTGACACCCGCGGGCATTGACCTGGCGTCCCTGGCAGCGTCGGCCTCTGCCCTCACGTGTGTGTCCCGGTCCCAGGCCCGCCTCGACCATCGGCCGTTTCTCCAGTCTGGTCCCCTCTGGGTCTGCGACTCCTGCCCGCGAGCGCGCGTCTTACCATGGCATCGTAGCCCAGGGCGTTCATGAAGTGCGCGACCTCGGTGCCCTTGTACACGGTGAACCAGATGGTGCCTTGGTACTGGTCGCCGGCGTCCAGCAGCAGCACGTTGGGCTCGGCTCGGCGGATCTGCTGCACCTTGGTGGAGAGCCGCGCCACGCCGCCCACGCAGAGGCTGGCGTTGCTGCACTTGGTGGAGTCCTCGCTGGTCTGCTCCAGCCGGCTGTGCACGTCGTTGGTGTGCAGGATCGTGAGCTCCCAGGCGCCAGCGGCGGGCCACAGCAGCGCGCCCAGCGCGAGGAGCAGCACCGCGGGCACCCGCGGAGCCCCGGGACCCATGGCTGCGGCGCGGGGCGAGCGCGGACGAGCGAGGCTGCCGCGGACGCCCAGGCTCAGGGGCGGGGGTTGGGGGCGGGTCCTGCTCTGCCGGAGGCTGGCCCGGGTCGGACGCGCCCTCGCGGTCACCCGGTGAGACCCTGGCACCCGCGCGGCGAGGCGGGAAGAGCGCCCGCGCCGAGCAGCTGGAGGCGGCGCCTGGCGCGTGGCTCCTCGCCGCTTCGCGCCCGTTTGGCCGCTCGGATTTCTCTCCAGGAAGAAAGTCTGGTTTGCGCCGGGTTTGCAGTTGCTCCAGGTCACCACTTCAGTGAGCAAAAGGGGGAAGAAAGACAAGGGAAGAGAGAGCGAGGAGTCAGGCGGAGGCGGGAGAGCAGCGCTTGCGGTGCGGGCTGCAGGCGCTAAGGGCGCTTTGGAGGCTGCGATGCTGTCGGGGGCTGGGAACGCGCCGGCCCACGTTTCACAGGCTCGGAGTCTCAGGCGCTGAGAAACCGCTGGGCTGCATTTTCCCCCCTCCCCCGCCCCCTTGGTGCCTGGAATCTAACTCAGAGCCTCATGCTTGCCAGGCAGGCGCTATGCAGCTGAGCTACATCCCGGGCCGTTGTAGTTCTTTAAAAGTTTGGTGATATGACAGCGACAGGGCCTGGACAGCTCCCAAAAGCTAAAATGGGGGTGGGGTGCTGCCTCCCTTCTCTGCATAATTTCCCTCTGTTTAATAGATTGATTCCTGAATCTGAATTACATATAATCAGTTACCTAGCAGCTTTGGAGAGGGAGAACGAATTAGTTTGGGTCCCCAGTAGGCGTTCTGCACGTTGTGTGGAAGAGCGTACCTGATCTTCACTCTTCTCCAGAGAGCGTCACGCCAGTCTTGTTTTTCTGTGAAGTTTTATTATTCAGCTGTGGTAAAGTACCCATAATAAAATTTGCCATTTTAACCATTGCTATGGTTTGTGTCTAGATGTCCCCTCAAAGCCTCAGGCAGTCATAGGACTGGGTTCTAGGGTTTATGATTGACTCATGGTCCAGTGCTGGGATTGTGGGTGTGAATGCTACAACCACCCTAGCGTGCATAGCCTGCATACAATACAAGGCAGGGAAAGAGACTTACCCCCTGCCACTCCTCCCCTTTTTGCTCTGGTTGCTTTTGCTGTTTTCTACCTCCATGAACTATTGCCCTCTGCCATGTGCCACCCTGCCTTGGAGTCAGCCAAGTGTGGACTGAAACCTCCACAAGCTGTGAGCTAAATAAACCTTTCCTTCCTTAATTCTAGGAGTTGAGTATTTTGTCCCAGCAACAAGAGAAAAGTAACCAAGACAGAATTGGGTACTGGGAGTGGGGTTGTTGCTGTGACTATACCTGACCATGTAGTTCTAGAGCCTTTGGAAATGGCTTGTGGGAACAGTTTGGAAAGGTTCAGAGATGTCACCTGAAAAAGTAGAGCTGGAACACCTGAGGCTGTTCTGTATGGGAGATTCTGAGCAGAATCTGATCAGAGCTCAGAAGACCACAAAAGTGGTAAAGTCCAACCTGAGGAGGTTTCTGCTGGGCAGAAGGACTGCATTAGCTGTTGGACTCCAGAGGATGTGTGTTGCCTGGCAAAAAGTTTATCTGCATTTTGCTCATGTCCAGAGACTTTGCCTGAGTCTGAGATTAAGGGCATTGGACTAATTAATCTGGCAGAAGAAATTTCAAGGCAGTCAAACGTTGAGGCTGTGGGATGGCCATTGTTGGGGGTTTTTAACCAGATTTATGTTGCGAATCAAGGACAAAGATCCCATCAGGATGATTTAAAACATTGTGAGTCTGGCCGGAAAGAAAGCTCCAGTAAAGCTGTGGACTGCAAACATAGAGCTGAGGAGATCTCCATGGCTGAGAAGGAACAGGAGACTATAAAAGATGGCCTGAGGGCATCACAAGAAGCAGCAAGTCTCCACCTTTTGTGGTCTCAAAATTGCACAAGTGAAAGACTTTGCTTTGAGGAGAAAGCCACAGAGCACCATATTTCAGAATGGTAGCAACCGCACCATGTTCCCGAATGGTGGCAGCATAGAGAATTTGCTCCTTATAATCAGGTTAAGATTGCTCAGTGATCTGGGCACTTGACTCTTACAGCTAAGAGAGGAAAGCCTGGCTATTGCTCTAGCTGGCAGCAGACCTTAGCATCAGCCACATGGCGCTGGCTTTTGGTGCATGCCAAATGCAAGAGTTCTGAGATTGAGAAGGCTTCCACCTAGATTTCAGAAGGCCTAGGCAGCCAGGCAGTGTGCTTCTGACAGGGGCGTGTGTGAAGCTGTGAGTGTGCAGCTGAAGTGCAATGGAGACCCAGAAGTTTGGAGAAGCCAGGAACGTAGATCTTCTAAGGAAAGTTATAAGGAGGGAGAAAGGAGGCTTAAGAGAGAAACCATGGGAGCTACACCGACTGGAAGTGTTGTAACGGTGGGGGGGGGCATGGAAGGCTTTTGGAGCTCAAAATTTACCACAGATTGCTTTGGACATTCTACATGGAACTACAGGACTTAATGTTTGCCCCACTGGATTTTGGACTTGCCTTTGTCCCATTCCTCTTTATCCCCCTGTTTATACTTTTTGGAATAGTAATGTTTACCTTGTGCCATTGAATGTTGAAACTGTTTAGCTTTTCATTTGTACAGGGGTTCATGGCTAAGAGTTTGCCTGAGATCTTGGACAAGAATTGGGACTTAGACTTTTCAGCGATGCTGAAACTTTAGGACTTTGGCAAGTCTTAGAGATGAACAAATATGCTTTCTGTATAAAGGGATGTGCATGAGTCTTTGGAGGGCCAGGAGCAGAATGTTATGGTTTATGTCTAGATGTCCTCCCAAAGCCTCATGCAGTCACGGGGGCAGGCTTCTAGAGTTTATGATTGATTCATGGTCCAATGCTGGGATTACAGGTGCGAGTGCCACACTTGCCCTGGGGTGGTAACCTGCATACAATGTAAAGGAGGGAAGGAAGCTTGCTCTTTCTGCTCCTCGCCCTTCTGCTCTTGTTGCTCTTCTGTCTTTCGCTGCCAGGAACTGTTGCCCTCTGCCATGTGCCACTCTGCCTTGGAGCCAGCCGAGTATGGACTGAAACCTCCACAAACTGTGAGCTAAATAAACCTTTCCTTCCTTAATTCTGGCAGTGGGTATCTTGTCTCAGCAACCAGAGAAAGGTAGCCAAGACAACCTTTTTTTAAGGTCCATTTCAGTGTCATTAAGCACACTCGATTCTTGTGCCATCATCACCACCATCCACCTTCAGAATCTTTTATCTCCCAAACCATGACTATCACCACTGAACAGTTGTTCCCTGTAGCCTCCTTCCCAGCTCCTGGCTACCTGCGTTACTTGTGTCTGTATGCATTTGCCGAGTCTAAATGCCTCATGTAAGTGGAATGATATACTTTTCTTTTGGACAGGTGTCACTAAGTTGCAGAGGCTGGGCTCTAACTTGTGATTCTCCTGCCTCAGTTTCCCTAAGTGTTGGGATTACAAGCGTGTACCAGCTTGACCAGCTCACTGTCTTTTTGTGAATGGTTCGTTTCACTTAGGCTTCAGGTTTGGTCTTTGAGGGTAGGGGGACAAGCAACAACCATGACTTAGCCTTACACTTGTGTTTTAAATGTAGGTCACTGCAGATAGAATGTGAAATCCCTGTCATAGGGTTGCCACCAGACTTCTGTTCTCTATCCACTTGTCTATATACAAATATAAAATGGACTTTGATTATTTATTGGACCAAATTCAAGCTGCCCACCTTACAGTTTTATTTTTATTAAATTTTATTTATTTAGGTAGGTCGTTACTGAGGATTGAACTCAGGGCCTTTGTACTGAGCTACATCCACAGCCCTTTTAATTTTCAGATAGAGTATTGTTAAGTCACTTAAATTGATCAGGTTGGGCTCACACTTGTGATCCTCCTGCCTCAGCCTTCCACACTGGGATCACAGGTATGCACTACTCCTTCTAGCTCCAATCTGGCCTTTTGAAGTTACTCTATTCATGTAACTTTTTTTTTTTTTTTTTTCATGTAACTTTTTTTTTACACTAAATTTTAAAGAGAAAAAATAACAAAATAACAACAATGAAGACAAAAACAAAATAACACAAAAACAATGAAAAATGGTACCAGATTTCAAAACAAGATGATAGGAATTAATAATGGTTGTTATATTACATACTATTATGTTCAGTGAAGTTGCTCAGATTACCAGATGTAAGAATGCAAGAATGATCAAACAGTTAAAGACAATAACAAGTAATAAAGAAACATTAGAAATGATACAGAGCTTCATTCAACAGGATGGTAGGAATTCAATGATGGTTGTTATATTGCATATTGTTGTCCTCAAGTCAGTTGTTCAGATTACCTGATATAAGCATGCAAAATTGGTCAAGAAAAATAATTTAAGCATTAACTGTTCCTTTCAATAAACCAACAGACATCAGCAATACACTTATCCTTGCATATACTTATATATATTTTTTCCTTTTTTTAAAGAGAAAAGAACAAAAACAAAGTCGCAAAGACCTAAATAAATAACATAAAAACAAAGAAATGATACAGAATTTCAAAAAGATGATAAGAAATTAACAATGATTGTTATAGTACATATTGTTATCTTCAGAGTGTTTATTCAGTTAACCAGATACAGGCATATAAGATTGATCAAACATTAACTGTTCCTTTCAATAAACCCATAGAAATTAGTTGTACAATTAACTTAGCTATCTTGTTTATATACATACATATTTTTCCCTTTTTTCTTCTTTTTTTTTTTTTTTCTGGTCCCGGGAATCGAACTCACGACCTTGTGCTTGCCAGGCAGGCACTGTGCCGCTGAGCTAAATCCCCAGGACCCCCCTTTCTTCTTTTTTTGTCTTTTCCCTCATCCCAGTTGTTCTTTCCTATTTGAGCAATTTCTTTCCCTTTCACAATATCTATTGTACCTTTCAGATTTTATTTATTCTTTCAGGTTCTTATACTAGGGAGGCAATATGATGTTTACACATATGAGTCTGATTTATTTCACTTATGAGTATGGTCTCTAGTTGCATCCATTTACCTATAAAAG